CTATAATATAAAAGGGCTTGTTAGCTATGGCCCCACTGGGACAAAATTATTCATCAATGAGAAATACATTTTTACCCTTGCCTCCTTTTAAAAAAAGTGTGAGCAGTTACAAGGAGTATTGCGTGTCTTATGAGAACAACATATTTCTCGTATCTTCATTTTATCTCAGATTATTCATGTGGAACTTTTGATATGAAAAGACTGGACAGATTCCAACTCTCTTAGTGAGTCTGTATGGCAACTGAATAAATGACTCATGTAAGTTTTAATATTTCTGCCATTCAAATACCTGTCTGTAGATGAACTATTTTAATACAATTTTTTTGTTTTCAGTTCTGTGAAATGAAATTGAATTTGTTTTTCCATGTTTGAGATCCTTCTTAGTATTCTAAGATGAATTCATTGTTGCAAATGCCACTAAACTTCAGGCCCTCTTCTGTAGACTTGGGCATCATTATCCCTAAGATTATTCTAACAATTATATGGCATGTAATGCAGAGTGAATGGCCAATATATTTGGTTAAATTCAATTAGTTCTTTGCATATGTAGGCACATACATGTTTTAATTATGACAGCATGCTATATTAGAATGCTTAGCAAACAGTTTCTACAATGAATTCCAGCTTTGTCACTTGCTTGCCATATGGCCAGGACAATTACTTAACTTGAGATTCAGTAACATAAGGATATAACTATAATATATAGATACATACTCTAAACTTCTGTATATACCTATATATCTATATTTCTATCTATAGTCTTACAGATTTCTTAGCATATAATGAGTACACAAGAAATGAAGTCTAATTATCTCACCCAAAACTTAAAAATGTAAATATTAAGAATTCAGTTATATTGTGTATTTAATAGCTTCTAGATTTTCACAGATGCTGTGTTTTGGAAATGACCGAGTCAAGCATTATGCATAAATACATATACATAAATGTATATTCACACACACTCCCCCATAATTTCTAAGTAAATAGATTAAACCAAAAAATGGTTTCACATAGACAAACTAGTGAAAGAAAAAAATAATTGCACTCAGTTATTTCAGTCTGTTATTTTAATGGCATTCTTTATTATTCTAATTAAAAATGAGTGGTGGTTAATTTACAAACAGTATGCACTGTGTCATTTTTCACTTAGAGTGAACTATAGCAATTATTTCAGGCTCTATACTTACAGAGATCCTTTATTATTTGTGTACAGGCTCAGTGACTCAGCTAGTTGATGAGTAAAGTCCATAATTGTGCTCAGATAAAGTCACATACATAAAAATCTCTATAACTCACTTTCTTCAGGAAAACTTTGAGAGTTCATCTACTCTTTTGTACATGCTTTTCAGTTGTTCTCTTAGGAATTTATTTTTCCTTCAAGGATTTTTATTTCTTTAATCTTTAATTTACCTTATAAAAACTTTGGGACAGAAGGGAACATCCATATATTTTTCAATAAGATTCCTATTAAGTTTATGGTACATAGAGTTATGTAAGGAATTATTCAAAATTAAATAGTCAAAGGCAGGGATTTGGAGTAAGATTTGGTCTGGTTCCTAGTTCTATAGCCTAAGCACTGTGTATCTTTCTTAGGAATTATAGAACTGAGTGATCCAGGAACTCTGTTTATATTAAAATATTCTCTTGTTCCCTATCATTTATGAAATTTCACTAAAATTAATAACATGTAATAGTTTTTGCGGTATTCAAAGTTCTCAATTTAAAATAGGTTCTTTAAGTACAGCTCTAGGCCTAGCTCTAGAGATGTTCAATATCTTTGTTTTCACATTAATTTTTGAATTATTTCTCAACTACAAAATAGAGGGAAAATGTTGATGAATTTTGAGACAAATGAATTAAGTGAAGAATTTTATCTTAGTGTCTGGAGGACTTAATCGATGCTCAGCAAATTAGCAGAGTTACGAGGAAGAAATATAATGCCTGAAAATACTTCCTTCCTCCCTCCTTTCCTCCCTTCCTTTCTTCTTTCCTTTCCCTCTCTTTCTTTCCTTTCTCTCATCCTTCCTGTTGAAAACCATGTGAAGCATGGTTTCAAGATGATAGAACATGAGTTGGACTTAAAAATTTTTTTTTCATGTCTTGATGTTTAAAAAATCCAGTTAACCAATGTGAGTATATTACCCCCGTGGCTTAGGCTTTTGTCTATAAACATTCACAGAATGATAACCTAAAAATTTATATTTAATCAGTCATTATTCTGCCTGCTAAAACTGTACTATATTCATTCATGCATGCATATAGTTATTCATATGATCATTACTGAAATGTTTATTAATTTGGCAACTATTTTTTATCTTCATCAACAGGGATTTTGTGAGACACAGGCTTAGCTGTGATGAGGAAGAAAGCTTGATTTCTGTACTATTTAATAAAATTCAATTACTTGAGAGATAATATTTCTAGCCTTCTTATATTAAAATTAATAACAATTAAATGAGGAGTAAAATAAACTTTTATTCAACTAAGGTAATTTTTATTTTGCATTAGCTGGTACTGGTCCTACCTTGGGTAACAAACAATGTCTTTCACTGCCCTCTGTTCAGTGGAACCTCTATTTTTATCTTTCTCTAAAAAATCCATGTTGTAAGGTTTGGATTATTTTAAGAGATTAAAGTTAGGGATAATATATTTACAATTAAAAGGAACATGCAAAATAGATTAGCTTATTTATAAGGCTCTGAGCCTTATTAAGAAAAATGACTGGCTAGATAAAATAGAAATCCCATGGAGTTATTTCAGAGGCATGCTGGAAAACTTCATTCCCTACCATCCTTCAACCCTTTAATTACAGTTGTAATTTCTATGGCAGAATTTAATTTCCTTTAGTATAAAGCTTTGATTTCTGTATAAATGTCATCATTCACAACCACTCCCACCCAACACTGGCACCCTTCTTTGTCCAATAAAAGGTGGCATTTGAAGATGAGACCTCTCAAACTTCCATCTTAAGCGCTCACTTAATAAACTTCTTTAGTCATCAATATTGAAATTTTTCAATACTAAATTTATTAATAAGTATTTTTGCTATATTTTAAAAGTAATTAATATAAATGATTGTTAAAAACTTTTTAAGCAATATAACAATGTCAGAAACCATTTGGGAAAATTATAGATATTAATGTATTTATGTAAACAATTTTATTGAGAATACAGCATATAAAATTAAAAGGAAAAGAGCAAACTAAAATATTTCTGCAGTACTTATAAAGGTAATACCTCAATAGAGAAAGTGTCCTCCTTAGTATGTATTAAAAGACGAAGATCTCAGTAGAAAAATGGGCAAAAGACATGGAGAACAATTGAGGAGTAAAAAACTACAAATGACAAATTCATGAGTAAGTGGTCAACTCCACTAATAATCAGTAAATGATTGAAACATCAATAAGATGCATTTTCATGAAACAAATAAAAATATGTAATATAACATGCTGTCAAGAAAGGGTGAGGTAAAAAGTGGACAGTTTCAGAGATCATTTAAGTGAGATAAGTTTTTGTACAATAAATAAAAAACTGTTGAGGTGCATAATTATAATGATGTATCCTAAATCAATAATCATATAGCCATGAAGTTTTAGTTAAATAAAAGCAAGGCTACTATATATTAATAATAGGGAAAATAGGAAACATCTATAAAATAATAAATACAAATACATTTAAAAGATGGTATAAAAGTACAGTGTTGACATGGGAAACGTGTTTCCTTATGTTCCTGCATTCCTCATGTTACTTTATTATGCATCCTGTTTAGTTTCTTTAGAATTATCCTATATAAGTTAATTTACACACTCAATTCAAACTTTATATCTTATCAAAATAGAACTATTCCTCAGAGGAATGAATCAGGGTGTCTTAAGCATATTTTTTTTTTGAGTTTTCTCCAAACTACACAGGGCTAATTAGTTTGCACAGTAAGATAAAAGCACTTCTTTTTTAGCTGATATGAAACTAATGGACCAAGGAAATAAATCAAGAGTGACAGAACTTATACTTCACAGTCTTTCAGGTTCTCAAGAGCTACAACTTTTCTATTTTGCATTTTTTACACTTTTCTATTTATTCATTGTGCTGAGGAATCTCCTCATTGTGCTCAAACTTGTATTTTTTGTATATCTGGATCAACAAATATCAAGCAAATCTCTAACATTAAACTATGGAAAAAATCAAAGAATAAAATATGGCTTCCTTTAGAATCATAAACTGATTTTGTTTACATAAGTTGATAGGGGAGACTGACAATACTGTCATACATGGTGCCCTTTTTTGTACTTGATACTGACTGAAAGTTACACACACTCCTCATTTAAAAAGATTAAAATGTTATATTATTAATTAAAATATTAACATGCTTAAATGTAAATAGTTGCCACTAAAGTACATGAAACAGCTGTTCTCTTAAGTAGAATGAATACATACTTTGATATTTTATGTACTAATTTACATACAAATATTTGTATCATAGATGGAATAAAGGTATTGTACCTAACATCTGTTGACCATGTCTGTGGGCCAGGAACTGTTCTGAGTATTTGCAACTCTATTAATCCTGGCAAAAATCCTATGAAGCATATACTATTAATTCTCCCAATTCACAGAGGCAAAAACTGAAGAACAGAGAGTTCAGTTAACTTGCTTAAGGTCACATTGCTGGGAATTACAATAGATAGCATTTGAAACCTGTCTGTATGACTACAGAATTTAACCTTCCCATTTTTCAGGAATTTAAAAATTGTATAAACTTGAGTTTTTAGAATACAACTATTATGCTGGGATGCAGAGATGAAAGCCACGGTTATAGAGACATTAAAAAATAAATCCATTCAACGTGTATCTGTGTGTTTATGAGGATCTAAATCCATAACTAGGTTGTATGGAATTTGAGAGCAGGCTTGGCTTGGCTAATTTACTCTCACAATCCTATGATGTTATTTCCATTTCACTTTACAGGAACATTTCTGATCCGATCTCAAAAATTTGAAATCATGGACCAAGGAAATAAATCAAGAGTGACAGAATTTATACTGCACAGTCTTTCAGGTTCTCGAGAGCTACAACTTTTCTATTTTGCATTTTTTACACTTTTCTATTTATCCATTGTGCTGGGGAATCTCCTCATTGTGCTCACTGTCATCTCTGAACCTGTACTACACACACCCATGTACTTTTTGCTCAGTAACCTCTCCTTCATTGATGTGTGTCTATCTACCTTTGCCACCCCCAAAATGATTGTTGACTTCCTATTGGAGCACAAAACCATCTCTTTTGAGGGCTGCATGGCTCAGATATTCTTTCTGCATGTCTTTGCTGGTGGTGAAATGATGCTCCTTGTGGCCATGGCGTATGATAGATACGTAGCCATATGCCGACCCCTACGCTACGCAGCCATCATGAGCATGAGCAAGTGCACAGGCCTTGTGCTTGGTTGCTGGCTCATTGGGGTTCTGCACTCAGTAAGTCAGCTGGCCTTCACAGTAAACCTTCCATTCTGTGGCCCCAATACAGTGGACAGTTTTTTCTGTGACCTGCCCCTGGTTATCAAACTCGCCTGCACTGATACCTTTACTCTTGAGGTACTGATGTTTTCAGACAGTGGCCTAATGGCCATGAGCTCCTTCATGCTCCTGCTGATCTCCTACACGGTCATCCTGGTCACTGTGCGACGGCGCTCCTCAGTGGGCATGGCCAAGGCAAGGGCCACCCTGACTGCCCACATCACTGTGGTGACCCTCTTCTTTGCACCCTGCATCTTCATTTATGCCTGGCCTTTTAGCAACCTCCCAGTGGATAAGGTTCTCTCAATATTTTATACTGTTTTCACCCCTCTCTTAAACCCCTTGATCTACACCTTACGAAATAAAGAGGTAGTATCAGCCATGAGAAAACTAAGGAGTCGACAACTGAGTGCCTGACAGTCTCCCAGCTCTCCCTTGTAATAAATAACAGCCTACAATAAAACCCATAGTAAAAACCAGGTTAGTGTACCTTCCTCTGTGAATTTCTGTTATGTCTGAAATATCATAGGACATATTTTCTTCCTTTTTATAGCATTTGCTTTTATACTAGTAAACAAACCATCTTAGATTACAGGAGAATTGGACTCCTGGTCTTTTGCTTATGAAATCGCTCTTATTTGATTCAGACTAAAATTATTTATAATAATAAAACTTTTTCCTATAAAACGAATCCATGGAATTCATGATTCTGCTGATTACCTTGATAAATATGAAAACGTATGAAATACTAAAGTAATGTAAGGTATTTAAATCATATTTTAGAGATTTAGAATAGTACTTAACTTGTACTAATGTTCTAGTCATCATTTACCTGGTATTACAAATTAGAGGTAGGTATTGTCATAAATTTTACCATTTCCTTACCATTTTTAGGTGACAGAATGCACCTGAATATAGACCTCATTCTCTCTGTCTCTGTCTTTGTAAATCTATACAAACACACACACTGATCTTCCTTGTTATTCAAACTACTTCTCTCTGAACTAAGGAATAGATGGAGGCTTTTTTCTATGTATAGGGGTGGTACTTCCTTGATCTGATCTCTCACTATAAACTACCCAGATACCGTGACCGAAGAGCAAATATATTACTTTGCAGAACTCAATACTGAACTCAGAAACCAAACAGGTTCATATATTTACATTAATTATGCTGTAAATACTAAAACTTAAACCCACAATTAATGTTTTTTCAGTCAGTGTATTAAGTTAAAGTTCAGAATTGATACTCAAAGCTACTGGTTCAATGACTACACACAAAAATGGATCTCTCTCCATACTGAAGTAGATGGTTTTCACCAACAGTGCTAAATATATTTTTTTACTCTATGTATCTTCTTGACATCTCCAGGTCATGCTGTCTGATCTATACCTACTAATAAAAAGTAAGTCAGGATACATTTTTTCAAAGCTCTCTAAAAGTACAAAATTGTTTTGACTTTTCAAAAGAATAAGGCTCCATTTGCACACTTACATTTAATATTTAATTCTTACTGATAGTTTAACTCTCAACAATTAGAAAACTGAGAGTCAAATTCATACAAGTTAAGTGAGTTGAAACACATTAATAATCAGCAAGTAGAAGAAATGATACAAGTAACTTCAACTACTGATTGTAGTGTTTGAGACAAGCCATAACCCGAAGTCAAGTTATGTTTTTGGAAATGAGAGTGTGGAAGAAATGGTAGTACGGAATACGATTTAATATCCAGTACATTAAAAAAATTTTTTGACTCACTTTTCTCATTCATCACTATCATTCTGCAAGACTCTGTTGATTTCTTTCTGAAATGTAAAATTAAAAAAGAAAGCTAATACAAGACTGTGTCATAGGTTGATGGTGATAACAATGATGATAAAGCCAAACACATATTCAATGGTCACAATATAATTTATAAATTGTATCTTTAATGTCACCTCATTTGGTTCTCACAAAATATCTATAGATGAGAAAAATAAAATTATGCCTCTATTACTGACAATATTGAAATTTAGGTAATCTGAAAACTTTCCTTATAAAAATACCTGTGAATTCTGGATGTTTTCTTTAAATTAAATGACCTCAGGGGATCTGAAATAATGGAAGCTTTGGGAGAGGAGAGTGGATGGGGAGGGACTGGTGACTGCAGGCCATGAAAATGATGGTCAGTGGTCACCTATTAGGGGGAAATTCTGTCTGTGCAGGAGAGTGGGGCAGAAGGAGATCTCTTGGATCTGAGACCCTCAGTGAAGGTGTGGACTAGAAGATGGTACTGAGGAGAACAAGGTAAAGACCATTTACTCCCACTGGCCTACTCTATGATAGAAAAATGGCTTCCTCTTGAAAACCATAATCATGGGATTGCCCATATTAAGAATTTGGAGTTTGGATTTATAGTCTGTACAGTCAGAAGAGATTTAACTTGAAAAATCAACATCAGCTATTAGGAACTTAAGGTCAATTTGGGGTCATCTGAAAAAGCAAAGCCCCAAATGCAAAAACAAAAGCCATGGCCTCAAAACTGGCCACATTTAGACACATGATGTTCAGCTGAACTTGAGTTTATAATTAAATTCACAAAGCACATGGGGAGCCCATTCACAATGAACAGAGTTAGCAGACAGAATAAATAGTAGACTAACCTCCTCCTCCCTTCCTAAATCAGTAATAAATCTTTTGGATATATATAATGAAGCAAATATGTTTAAAATGATAAAATTACAAAGCAAATAAAAAAGGAGAACATATCACTATCATAAAAGAAAAGTATGTTTGCTGATGTTTGCTGATGGGAATAGTAGACACAATTTTCCATATTCCTCCCACTAAATGTAATGACAATCACAAAACATTATGTATAAAACAAACATTATAACACTCTGAGAGATTCAGAGAAGGTAGACTGGATGGGGACCCAGACATGACACAACATGACAAAAGCAGCCAAAAACTCAGAAACACTGAGAGCAGACAAAACCCCCTGACAAAATGCTTTCCCCTGCAGCCGAAGGGCCAGGAAAGGCGCAGCCTAGCAAGACAGAAAACTTTTAGAAATAGAAGATACAACTTTTCTCCTTCATCCGAACACCATGAAAAAAGTCTGGTCCCACCTCACCCACACCAAGGCCAGCTGGGTGGCTGAGGCTCCTACTCCTCGCCAGCACATGGCAAGGTGCCCCAACGCCCCCACACCCGAGGAAGTGTTAGAGGAGGCAGAGCAGGGGACCCGAACTCCCATCTTTTTCAGACTGTGCTCAGCAGCCCCTCCCACAACGTGAGGGCGTAGCAGTAACAAGGCGCTCTTATCCCTCCCCGCCAGGGAAGCAGCAACGGAGGCCTCCAGGAGACAGAGCCCTCACTCCCACCCAGCAGCAGCCACTCCTTCCCAGTGCATGGTAAGAGAAACAGAGCTGGGAGACAGGACTTCTACCCCCACCATGCAGTAACAAGAGTGTGTTCCTTCTGTCTTCACCTGTCAGAGCAATGTAAAAACATCAGCTAAAACAGGAGGTTTGAATAAGGTTTGGAGCCTTAATATGAAGTATCACTATTGTTGAGATTTCAATTAAAAATCATCATACAATAGAGGGCATGTCAAAGTGTGGGCAAAGTTTGTTTCTATGCAGAAGATCAAGGCCTAGCTTGGATACCCAGAAAATGAACTAAGATACAATATGAGGAGGATCTTCCGGCATCAGCACTCTCTGGAGGACTTGTGCCAGGGGGATAATCAACAAACAGCTTCCACAGGGATCTGGGCGATGCTGTGGTTGTGGCTGCATCCACCCCACCATCTCCTGGACTTGCCATAGGAATGAGGAGGGAGATGTCTAGGCTGGCATGTGCATACAGTGAGACAACGAATTTGACCGGATCTGTACTGTTGGAACTCAACCAGGAGTTGGGAGGGGTGCAAGTTGTAGCATTCCAAAATCTTATGACTATAGACTATCTACGGTTAAAAGAACATATGGGATGTGAACAGATCCCAGAAATGGGCTGCTTTAATTTGTCTGATTTCTCTCAGACTGTTCAAGTACAGTTGGACAATATCCATCATATCATAGACAAATTTTCACAAATGCCT